GTGATACTGCGCCGCCTTAGAAGAGGGTCACTGACCTTGCACCTTTTCCCAAAACTTGCGTTTTTCTGCTCCAACTGCCATATATAACTTACTCCGAAACACCCCTGTAAAAAACCACGCAGCTTTGCCTTCCGTCGCATAGACTCATATATCAAAACAACATTTTGTCTAACCAGCGTGTCCTATTTCTCAATCATCTAAGAAGCGAGAGGCCTATTCAAATCAGCTTGTTTCGGCCTCGTGCACATGGGCAATGCAAGTGATAAGTGCGCATGTTTGTATTCTAGTTTTAAAAAAAACAAGGCGCAGACCCGTGCGCACCCCCACTCCAAGGGCTGGCGCGCATTACAAGGCGGTGCAGTGCTCCATCATCAGCTGATATCGGTGTCGCATGACCGCGCCCATACAGATACTGCATCAGTTGGACAAAGTGCACGAAAAAAGCAGGCGAGCCCACCGGGAGTTGTCAGTGGCTATCGAGGGGTTGATGTTGTCTGCGGAAAGCCCCACTACGAGAACTTCAGAGAGTCCTTTTGTCTCGGGTCGTTCTTTTTTCACATGGTTCTCTGCGTCGACGCAAATAATCTCACGCGAGAACGCTTGACTATTTTCTTGATTGACGAATTGGAACATGTAGACAATCGAGCATTCTTGAGGGAGATAACATACACTGACGCCGAGAACCTTGCAAAAAAGAACGTTCCTGTACCAAAAGAACCTGCCCCCCCCCCTAAAGTCCTCGTGAAATGTGGCTCCCTGCAGAAACCAAACCGACACCTGCACCGTCTCTGAGCACTCCCGAGGGGCTTAACCCTTTTTCAGTCATCGTGTTGATAAACTTGCATTATACCATCATTGAAATATATTTATGCTGGTGATCTGTGGACCATCTCAACCGACACCCACCAGACAAAAACAAAAACATTCAGATCAACGTAACAACACAGCTCAAGTAGTCATGACACAGCCCACGTCAATACAGCGGCATTTTATGAGAACCTTAGAGAGGTCTTCTAGTCCCGGGACATCCTTTTTGCAAGGTTCTCGGCTTCAGTTTAAGCTATCTCACTCTAGAATGCTCGATTGTCAGCATGTTCCCAATGGAGATGAGGGAGATAATGAAGCATTCATACGCGAGATAACTTGCGTCGATGCTAAGGATCTCGCAGAGAAGAGAACGGACTGAGACAAAAAGATCCACTCTGAAGCTCCCGTTAAGTGTATCCTTCTGCAGAGAGAAGATCAAACCATCGACAGGCTCTTAGAACTCTAGATAGGCTTGTCTGTTTTCAGTGCAGGCCGATGATAGGGATGTCAATGGCTTAAATCGGTTGGATGGGACTGAACCGATAAGCTGGACCTAACTCACCCCAAAGAACCTGAAATTCTCTTGGATTTCGGCCTGCCTAATTTGCGTCCCGAACGTTAAAATAAAAAGCTTCTTAATTTTTGTTATCGATCCCAGGGCGGTTTAAAGCCCAGGCAAAGTTGCATTTCTGTGAAAAGCTTAAATGGGGTGTGATAAAAAAACACTTTTACAAGGAGCCATTGTGATCAACGAAAAATGATGTCCATAGTATATCGAGGGTGACACTACACGCAACAAAATTTTGTATGGAATTGCGTGGCTTGACACGCACGGACGAGAGCCTATGCAGCATTCCCCAGCAGATTGGCACTAACTGAACTTACGCGGCCTTGTCCACAAGCACGTCGATAACTGGGAGGATAGAGAAAGTGAAGACTGGTTATCGAATGGGTCTTCAGAATGACTGTCTGAAAAAGCGTCTGCAACGCTTTGACACATTATGACACGGGATGAACCGTGCCGAGCATTGTGCCACGTTAAGCTTTCCCCGCAAAGCTCTGCCGCTGATGCATGATTTTAAGATCGGGCCAGGGCTCGCCAAACCGGCACTTTTTGGCGTGAGCATTCATCAAATCACTATCACATCACAATCACTCATCCCAGAATACATCCAATCAAAAAGTTGGGACTAAAGCTTGTAAGAAATAATCCAGGGCCGCTCCAGTCATGCTGCATTACAATACCGCACACCCAGTAACTGCTAAGAAGGTAGTTCTTAGGTCCGACAAACGGGAAAGCGGTCACAAACTGGATCATCTGATCTGGGGAGAGCGGTGTGCATATTGTCTGATCTGGCGAGGGCGGTATGTATTTCGTCTGATCTGGTAAAAGGGGTGAGTATATCTTCTGATTTGTTGAGCAGTGTGTATATCTTCTGATCTGGTGAAAGCGACGTGGAGATCTTCTGGTCTGGTGAGAGCGGTGTGTATATCTCCTGATCACCTTGAACTTCTGATGTGTATATCTTCTGATCACCACTAAGGGAAAGTGGTGCGTATATTGTCTGATCCGCAGTCGCGAACGCATGCGTGCTACAGTATCCCTTACTTTCCGTGAGAACGAACACACAGAGCACTGAGCGAGATCTCCCGATTTTTCAACAATTTTCGGTTTAACAGTGCGAAAGGTTCACACAGAAGTCGTAGAAAGTCAAAATAAACATGTTGTGTCTTTGAGAAATTACCTTTCATACAAGATGGCCCAGATACAAGTCGAACTGCGTTTTGTTCAACAACGGCAGGAGTATTTCGAGCATAATCAAGACTGCGATGGTAGAGATTCGAAGGGCCATTCAATGGCAAAGCGTGGTAAAGGAAATGTGAACTCCAGGGATTTCACATTCACTAAATAATGATTTCAGGCGATGTGTCTCTGAGGACGACAGCGAGTGTCTTGTCAATACCACCTCAAAGCGCTACATGGCTGCCGCTCTGGGATTGATCGAGACGAAGAGAGGCCTCAGGTTGACGTGGTGACACCGCACACGAAACAGGCTTCACTGGATTGATCAGGGAACCGTTTTGCTGGAGTGCAAATCACCTTGAAAGAAATGTTCCACATTTCAAGATATTTAAGCAGGCATCAGATATTATGAAGTAAGCTCATGTAAGCTATTGGTATACTTTTAAGAGGAAACAGACTCTCTGGACTTCACAATTTCTCTGTCTGGTCAATATGCCCTTCAATACGTCATTATTTTGATTACGTCTTCGTTATATCTGGAAATCGTGCTCACGAACGTCAAATATGAACGACTTAACAATTATTGGCTTCGATCGCCGCATGGCTAATGGACTGACAGGCTTTGGATAGCGTTGTTATGGCATCATGGATGCCTAGGAGACCTTGACATAGTCTCCTCGAAATAGTCTGCCATCTTCGTGAGCGTGTAAGTCAGAAACTAGAACGGTTTTGGTCTCAAGAAGGGCAGGGCTGTGAACTGCACCGGATGATCTTAAAGTTAGCTATTTAAGTTCAAAACTCCGCACAAAAGTGGGACATTCCCTTTAAGACTACCCTTGTTGTGGCTTCTTGCTCTCCAGACCTGTCGTCCCTGGACTTCATGTCATGCCGTAACCTAAAGAACTACGCCCACGCGGATAAGCCAGCGAACCTTCAAATGCTTAGGCCACCTGCACACCTGAGATGAGACGCATCGCCGTGGGTATCAACCGGACAATCAGCTACCTTCAGCATGTTTAGCTGCTGCACATTTTGGATCGCCAGGGCCTGAGGACCACCTGGAGCACCCTCTGTTGTCAACATTTGAAGAGTGTGTAAGCACTGATGAGTACTGCTGTCGCTGATCATGTTTTGCCATTCAATTGGCAGTCAAGTACCACCAGTCATGACTCTACGACAAATGCGCTTACCGCTGTTGAGGGAAACGTGAGGCAGATTTTATCTGGGCCCCCGTGACGGGTGGTATTTGACTGCCAATCGAACGGCAAAACACCATCAGCGACCGCAGTAGCCATCAGTGTATGTCAGGGTGCCACCCGGGCGACATCGGCGGAAGCTCTTGACCTGCCAGCTCCGCGCCCGGGCGACATCGGCGGAAGCTCTTGACCTGCCAGCTCCGCCTGTCGGTGGCACGCAGCCCCTGCCTGCTAAAATCTGCCTGCTAAAACTAAAATTGCCCTTTATCTAGGTGTTTCTACAATTTAGGTGTAATCACGGGAACTGCTTACCAAACATGCTTGCGGCCTGGTTTAGTACATGACAAAATTGGCATGAGAAAAACCTCAGGCGCCCACAGGACGCTATTTGGTTGAAAATAGACATGAGACCAATAGTGGTCTGTGTGGTTGCTTATCTATTGTACCTATAGATATTACAATTTTCCATATTTTAGCCCCGTATACCCTTTTTGTTCATATGCATTTAGGGCGCTAAGAGGAGCATTGCGGAGGACTCAAGACAGTATTGAAGGCATCAAACCCCTCCGAGAATGCATTAAGCGATGCCCCTGGCCAACAGTCTGTCACGCTATCATTTCTGACCTGAGTAATCTTCAAGCCAGAAGTCTAAGCCAGATAAGGTCATTTATCAACCGCACAAAACAGCGCAAGTGGATGGAGACAGACGGACAAGCCTGAGAGATGGTTCAGGGTCACCAACTCGGTTGATAAGGACTTATCTAACGCACCGTGCATCGGTCAAAAAGGCGTGTCAGTCGGCGCTGGGCGGAGGGCAAGTGCGGAGCGAGTTGGGTACAGCTGCAGGTGCTCATCTTGCCTACGACGGTCCATCGCAAATAATTCACCGTACTGCGGAGCTGCACACAACCGAAGAGCCCTTCCTCGCACCGCACAGGGATTCTGAAGGGGTTCTATGTGACGGCAGCAGGTGCGGCAGAGGCGGCACCATGTTCGGCTGGCTGTTGTCTGTGCCGCTGACGCTGGCGCGCTGGCTGCTGTCGCCGCTCCCGCTGGCGGTGCTGGCGGCCGCAGTCGCCTACTTTTACTTCCAATATACCAAGGACTTCGACTTCTGGCCCTCGCGTGGTGTGCCCGGACCAAAGCCAAAGCTACCCTGGGGCAACGAATTCGGGATACCTTTCGCCAAGCCTCTGTACGAGCTGGAGCAATGGCTCTATTACAAGCACGGCGGTAAAAAGTACTGCGGCTACATGGAGATGAAAAGGCCGGTGCTCTTCGTCGGTGATCCGGACCTGATCCGGGCCATCACTATCAAAGACTTCGAGTGCTTTACCGACCGGCGAGGTGTGAACAACCACAAGCACCTGGAGGAGGCGCTGACCTCGAAGAAAGGGGCGCAGTGGAAGGAGACAAGGGCCGTCATGTCACCCACCTTCTCTGCCAGCAAGTTGAAAGCGATGCACGAGCTGACGTTAAACAACGCCCACAATCTTGCCAAGTACGCCCTGGAGGAGATGAAGCGGCAGGGCGAGGTGGAAATAAAGGACGCGTTCGGCCGCTTCACCATGGACAACATTGCATCCTGTGCGTTTGGCGTAAACTGCAACTCTTTCGTCGACCCCAACTCCAGGTTTGTGGTGGAGGCGGCCAAGTTGACCCAGCCCAGCCTGCTGGGTATTTTACGCGTCGTTTTTAGTCTGCTGTTACCGAGGCGCCTCGCTTTAAAACTTCCCGATCCGTTGGCAGGCGCGCTCTCCTTCCTTGCTGACGTCGTGAATGAAACTATCAGGCACCGAGAGGAGCACTCCAGCACCGTGAAAGACTTCCTGAATCTCCTGCTGGAGACCAAGGACAAAGACGGAAACCGCGTGCTCAGCAACCACAGCATTCTGAGCCAGTCGGTGCTGTTCCTGATCGCGGGGTACGACACGACAGCAACGGCGCTGACGTTCGCCGCCTACAGCCTGGCCACCAGTCCTGATGCGCAGCAGCGGGCACAACAGGACGTGGACGATGCCCTGGCCAAACACGGCGGCCACATGACGTACGAAGCCGTGATGGAGATGACGTACCTGGACCGGGTCCTGCTGGAGGCGCTGCGCCTCTACCCGCCGGCCACGCGCATCGAGCGCATGGCGACCAAGGACTACACGCTGCCGGGCACGAACGTGCACCTCCCGAAGGGCATGGTGGTGCAAATGTCGGTGTTTTCCATCCACCGCGACCCGGACCATTATCCGGACCCGTTGCGCTTCGACCCGGACCGCTTCCTGCCCGAGGAGAAGGAGAAGCGCCATCCATGCGTCTACCTGCCGTTTGGCAGCGGGCCACGCAACTGTATCGCCAAGCGGTTTGCACTGTTCGAAGCAAAGGTGGCGCTGGCTGCACTGCTTAGGGAGGCGACGCTGCTGCCGACGGAGGGCCTGCCTCCGCCGCCCATGCCGCTGGACAGGAAGAGGTTCATCCTGACGCCTCAGGGCAAGAAGATGCCGCTGAAGCTGGTCCCCAGGGACAACAGTCGCTAGGGGAACGTCTGGAGCCCGTCCACCTGCAACGAAAGCTTCTAATGCTAATCCGAGGCTATTTTCACGCGGGAGTGGGTTCACCCGGCGCCGCGGCAGGTCTTGCTCGCTTTGTTCGAGAGCACTAGATAAGGCCTTTTCAAGCTTGGTGCCCTTGCTAGCCATCAAGTTGATACAATCGAAATGAAATACAATCAAGGATACATTACAATGATATGTTATTCCAAACGCAATCGAAATACAATTCGATAGAAGTTGAACTTTTTCGCCATCCAGGGGCAACATCAGTGACGGTGTTTGGTGGCACCAAAAACGCGATGTGGGCTGCTAACGGAAAATGTGAGGTCTGGTGTTTCTTGTTACACTGTAACGTTTGGCCGCAGTGAGTTATAGCATGACTTTTGACATCACAACTAGTCACATTTGGGGGGTGCGTGGGCCATACGAAATGTCGGGGGCGGATCAAGCAACAATGAGGGAAGGAGTGCTCCCGGTGTTCCGAATACATAAGCTTAGTAACTTACTTTACAGTGTTATTTGTTGCTGTAAAAGACCATTGGAAGCGGCCAGCAATGCAAACAGCAGTGCAAACAGCAAAGTAAACAACAATCTAGCAATGCAAACAGCAGTTCAGCAATGCAAACAACGGGTATCGTAACTGCACAAAAAATAAAAACATTACAGGAGCGATGGCAAGCGATGTAAGTGCTACCAGTCAAGTGGCACGAGCTTTCATTTTGAGCTTGGTTATGGCGCATTATTGAGATCGCTGGTGCTGTTGTCGACATTACTAGTTACACAAGGGACAACGAAGCCAGCATATTTTACAAATATCTGATACATTAGCAGCAAGCTCAATTGTTTATGCAACATGCATCAGCTTGTGGCAACCGCTTTGCGTTTTGAAGCATGGATGGATAATTTAAATCTGTGTTGCATATGAACAAGGAAAACACGTAATGATGAATCGATAATAGCTTGCATGATGGTATTATTATAACGCAACGGAAGGTAGATCAAATGCAATGATATATTCGCGGTCAAAGTGGACATGAAACAAAATGATTGCGTCAAATGGAACGCAAAGGAATCGTAGAACGTTGGCGACCCGGAGCACACAGCAGAAATTCTTAACTCATCCCAGACAGTAGCTTGCGCCCTTCGAACGATGCTTTATCGTGGTATCGTATACTTGTCATGGTGGTCGGCGGCCCCCGGCGCGCGGTGAGGTCCGCTCGTGCCCGGACACGACAGCCGCATGGCAAATTGTGGTCATTTTAGAGCTCAGTTTTGTGTGATATTTCATTTTGATGGGTCTCTCACAGCATTTTTTGGCTGGTTGTTGTTGTTAATTTGGGTTTTAGGCTACTACAGCTGCTTGTTTATTCAGTGCCCATATCTACTTGGTAGTTGCGCTGTATTTACGCAAACTAATCATTGTATAAGGATATATTATTCCGGAAGCCACACTCAAAAGACTAACTGATAACAAGCTTAGCAGTTCGCAGGCATACTTCTCTAAGGCTGATATCAAGAATGCTATATTTGAATGACAAACAGCGACTCGCGTCGTACGGGCTCCAGTACCACGATCCAGGACCTACATAAGCACATTTCACAGGCCAGTTGCCTGGTGTCATCACCACCGGAACGATACGTACACAACAGACGTACTCGTGACGATAAGCAATTAGGACAACGTTGCGACTAAAAGGAATCGGGTACCTAGTTCCCCGCAGACTCGCTACCTTCGCTGACGTGGAACTTTATTGGCTTTTCACAAAAGCCGACGGCAGCATCAATACCTAAATCCTGAATGCAGATAACGCAAGGTCCACATATGTATAATCATTCTGACAAAGAGTACAGCACTACAAGAGTTGCTATCTCCACGCCCACCAACTTGGCAACACAAAAGAACACTGGCAGCTGGGCACCAAGCATGCATTCTTATGTAAACAGGGCTCGTTTATCCCCGCAGAACACGCCACATTCTCACTCCACAATCATGGCTTAGGCGCGTGGATTCGGCATGTTGTCCACCGGCTCCAGGCACTCCACACGCTTTCCGCACCGCCGAGGAGGCTCCCCACTCCCAGCACGCCCCCGTTCTCCCGCCTCGAGAGATGAAGGCGCGTCACTCTCAGAGGGGCAGCGGTCTCGGGGGTCAGAGCCGTCCCAGGCGACATCGCGACGTCCCGTGCGACACTGGCGATGCGCAGGCACCGACTCGGCGGCCGCAGTTCCCCCAGGCGGGCGCCAGGACAGCCGGAGGTGCCGCGCGCTGACGGGCAGGCGGCGGCCGACCGGCTGCTCAGCCACAGGTCTGCCACAGCAGAACGCTCCGTCAACGGTCAACAGGAAACGATCACGTCCAGGCGGGGGTAGGCGGCTCCCAAAGGTCAACAGGAGACGAGCACGTCTGGGCGGGGGTATACAGGTCCCAACGGCTAACACAAGACGAGCACGTCTAGGTAGGGGTAGGCAGCTCCCAACGGTCAACAAGAGACGAGCACGTTTAGGCGAGGGCAGGTAGCTCCCCGGGCCTAACGGTACCGGGAGTGCGAACACTGATTAGACCTGGCCACAGCTGAGTACATGAAAACAGGCTGGTCATCTGCACACGCTGCCTATGATACTCAGAAATAAAACCTCTGCTGACCTCGCAGCATTGTTCAAGAGAAGAGGCCGGCTATTAAATCCTCATCAAAAACATAAAAGGTTTGAGTTGCATGATAGAATTCGCATCTACAAGCCAGCTTACCAGACGTGCATGCTTAGATGGCTACTGCAGCAAATTTACATGCGTGGTTGGTAAAACAATAACAGCAGGACACTCACCAATAGCTCTATCACAGACGATACCCTGCCTCAGGCTCAGATCTCGGCGCCCTGTATCCGACTCTCCCATTGGTCAATCAGAGTGCTCCTTCGCCTCCGATTGGCCGATGAGATCGGCGTCTGAAACAAGGAGGGCTAATTACGCTATCCTCAGACAATGCACATGTAGCCGTCCTCACTTGCAATGCTGCTGTAACACACACTATCCAGCTCATGAGATGTAGGTAAACGCACCACGCCAATATATGTCACTTGCTGAAAGACTTCAACCAGCCGTCATGTGACTCAAACCCCATGGGCAAGCTCAGTATGGTAAAGACCCAGTCATTCATCAAAACAAAACAACCCAGACAACGCGGCGTGGCCGAGAGCGTCGCCGGCGGCGCGCAGCCCTGCGGTGCTGCCGCCTGGCGGCGCCGCGCCGTACCTCGGCCGGCTCGTCGTCCAGCAGGTTCGGGTTGGACATGGTGCGCGTCAGCGGGGCCAGTGCGGAGTCGGTCAGCTCGTCTTCAGACGTCGGCCCGCCCAGAGCAGCCAGCAGGTCCGGCTGGGACTTGGCCATCATGCGGCTCCGGTGTCGGCTGAAAAGCAGGCCCGTGTCATGGCACCACCGTCACAGGGGGCGGTCAGCTCTCCACTACATACAGCAGCTCCCACAGTTAACAGGTATAGATGTTTTGGCCGAGCTTTAAATAAGGTACAAAAATACTGATGAGTTGAGTAAAACCCCAAGATACCCCCAGGCCCAAGATACTATAGAAGAGAGGGAGGGATGGACAGGGATCAGCATGCCAACATTGCCCAAAATGATCACCATCAATCAGTACTCCAGCTTTCATGATAGGTTTAACCCCCGGGGAAGATCGTCTCCTCTCGCGGAACAGAACCTCCACGCAGTCATGTCCCCCACAGGCCAGACATTTACCGTAGCTCCTCCTCACGCTCCTTCATGGCCTGCAGCTCCAGCTGGATCTTGGCCTCTGCCGTCAGCACCCGTCGGCTCGGGACCTGTACAGGAGCCCTCCTCTCCGCCTGAGGGCGACGAAAGTCCTCGCCGTCAGCGACCCAGGTCAGGAGGAGGGTGGAGTGCCACCGCTACAGACTGCAGGGGGAGCGGGGTCACGAGGCGCGTAGCTCTCAAGGATGACAGCGGGGCGACAGACAATACTGTTGACAGGTGTGGGCTAATATACCCGCCGTTAGCATGAAAGAGATGCAACCTACCACGAAACGCACACTCATATAACGTAGCTGTGGTGGCCGACAGATTATACTACCCCCCCCCCCCCCTTGCCTATATTTAAGGAGAGGAAACCGGTGTGCAAATTTGTCCTCTTCTAAGCTGAAAGCTCCCCAACGCTCCGACCCGTGCAGCCGGCGCTGCTGAGCCAGCCAGCCGACCGTGCCGCAGCGTGCCCGGCCTCGACTGACCTGCTGTTCGGCGCGCGGCGCGGCGGCCAGGGTGAGCCGCGCGGCCGGGCGGCCAGCCCGCGGCGGGCTCGGCTCGCGCGGCGACGGCGTCGAGAACGCGCTGACCGGCCGTAGCCTGCCCCGCGACGAGATGAACTTCTGCATGAGGCCGCGGCCGGCGCCAGCCGGGCGACACCGCCGGCTTGAAGGCGCCCGACCTCAGCGGGGGCGCCGCGCGCGTCGCGGCCAGCTCCGCCTTCCGCGCCGGCTGGGGTGGAGCCGCGTCGGGCTTCTGCGCGAGCGGCAGCTGAGGCGGCGCTGTGTCGGGTTTCTGCACGGGCGACGGCTGCGGTGGCGCCGTGTCGGGCTTCTGCGCGGGCGACGGCTGTGTTATCTCCGGCTTCTGTGCGGGGTGGGGTCGCGTCGCCTCCGGCTTCTGTGCAGGCTGCGGCCGCGCGGTCTCTGGCTTCTGTGCAAGCTGGGGGCGCGGTGCGTCTGGCCGCCGGGCCAGCTGGGGCCGGGGCGGCGTCGGGTCAGGTTTGAGGGCGGCCTCCCTCGCCTGGTCCGCCCGCTGCTTCTTGTCGTTGGTCAGCTCCACACTATGCTTCGTCATGTCAACAAGCCGGGTGACCTGAAGTGCAGCGGGTAAGATCAAAGCCGTATCCGGCATTGCTCTCCAGCATCACACTGTCTTCCATCGCAATCACGGAGCGATTATGATGTCAGTAGACATTTTACTGACGATTTATCGGGATGAAGTTTGAAAATCGTTGTTTTTTTACGTGAAACTAACTGCTAACCAAAATATGCTTAAAGATCCCATGAGACAATGGTGACAAAAAGGGGTCAGGCATCCGCCGAGC